GTGGCACCACTCGTAGACTACCCTTCTCTACTCGACTTTCACCATTCGACATCACAACTCAAAACAACACGTGCACTAAAACTATATTTATTACGGAACAAGTGCTGTTGTATCTGCAGAAAAAAATGCGGTTTTCAACAGCTGCCGCCTTTCACTGTGTTCCGCAACACACGACCTTTAGGTTCTTTAGTCATACAAGTCAACTTCGCCATACCTTTGAAACTTCGCAGGGTAGGGACCATGTCAAGGTCTAACTCACATTCCTTCTATCCATTTGTCTGAGTTGTTTTCGCTCGCTGCTGCGCCACAGAAGCAAATCGACTTCCATCCGATCTTCTTGGTGTTGTGACCTTTGCCCCCGCCGCGTCGTCACTGGATCGTCCAAGTGAGTGAGTGGCCCATCGAGTGAACGCATGTTACTGAGGGGCATCCAGTTTGTAACTTTGTTTACAGTGAGTACATCTAAAAATCGTGCCCAACACCGAACTATCGCAATTGGAAGGTAAACACACGAAGGTAAACCCTGTATATTTTTGCTTTCATCGCCATCTGTATTACTGTTAATTTCTTTTTCTCAACCTTCGTGGTAGACTAGCATTCCTCAGAGAGGACGGCGGATTCGAACAGTTCATTCTTGACGGCGGCAGCGATGATTTGAGGTGGTTTAAAGTTGTCCATGCCGCCTTCCATCTCCGGTTGACCTCATCGATGACGTCATCAGTGCAGTCTATTAGGCGGCCGAGGTATAAGTGGCTAATTAGAGATGATCTGTGGTGGTCTGTGCTCGAACTGCATGCACGTTAACGTCACATTTCGTTTTATTCATACGTCAAAGACATGGAGGGTACAGTGTCATGGCAAATTCATAATCACATCATTAATATTGCGGCTGGATGAATCACCGCAGTGCAGACCCCGTAAAAATTAAACACATTCCTCAAGAATGAAATTGTTTAATCACACAGGTTACCCTCGTTTCTAAGTAAACCCAAATAAACGTATTGCAAAAGTATTCTCTGTTTACTCTGCCTCGTCTAGTCGTGTCGCCTGTCGCCCCAGAAACTTGCTGCCTGTGATCTTGGCCAATACCGATTCTCCGGCTCTAGCCTTTTTCAGCGCCTCGGGCAATATCTGAACAGAGCAATAACTGCGACGAATATAAAATGGATATTTCTTACCTCACTGAGCAATAATCCTTTTGGAAGATAATCGATAGCCTCCAACAGCAGCTCCGTCCACGCAGCTCTCGTGACTATAGTAACACACAAAGAAATGAGAAATAATAATCACGCCAAATCGAAAGTGTTACAAATTGTGCTTGCATAACTTTTAATATAGGTACAGACAGAGTATCTGTTCGCAACCTGGTTCACACCTGTTAATGGTCTTTGCTTCATAATCAATGGTTCAAGGCAAAGACTGAACAGTTGATCAGGAAGCGAAGACCAATAACCGTTACATGAGGTGATAACTCAGGTTACTTAAATGAAAAGAATTCGAATGAGTCTTTGTGAAAGGGAACACACTGACGAAAATCTCTAACTATTCAAAAGTGCCATGAAATGGATGGAAAGAAAAGTATTTGGAATTTCAGCTAGTCGTGAATTCGCTTCTGAGAGGAGGAAGTTGTCTTTAAGGAAAAAGGAGTTGCCAACTTACTCGCCTCATGTTTAAATTGAGCAAAAAGAACACAAGTGGTTTAAACCAGCGTTCCCTTACTTCGTTAGTCCCCCCCCCAATGCATACAAATTCTTAAATGTTCCACTACTTTCGCACATGGTCACACCGTCGTCTCTTCAGATGTACTCGTCTTCATGGAGACAAATGCAAGAAAAGTCGATTTAGAAAACCTACGGCACTTTCGATATCCCAATCATACTCAAGATGTAATAGGGATATGCTGTGTAATTCTATCATAAATTTATAAGCGCTTTGCATGACAGACGAAATTATTTCTTTTTCGATGGTGAGTTTTACAAATAAACCAAAGGGCGCCAGGGAGCAACTCACTTCCCACCATTCTTGCCGAACACTTCGAAACTGTGGCCTGGAACACATCCTAGAATTATTTCTAACGCTTTTCAAAAGATTTGTTAACGATATATTTCCAAAATATCAGTTGTTCGTTGAAAAAGAAAATAATTCTATTCTGTCTTTTTTTCACATCTTCATAACTAACTCTGGCTATTGCTATAAAATCAAAGTTAGTCATAAACATACTAACATTGATAAATACCGAAACTTTGTCTCACGCAATTATTTAAACAATAGAAAACATACAGTGACGACTTTAATAGACAGAGCTCTGGAGTTCTGCAGTAACGAATTTCTTCATAAAGAAATAAAACATTAAATTAGCTTTACGCGATAAAAATGATTATCCAGTTAAATTCGTTAATTAATAATATCATAAACGTACTGTAGATTGACTTGAAGGCTCCATTAAATTCTGCATTCCACCGTTTCTTCTAAGCTGCACCGGTCTGTTTTAGCAGTCTCCGGAAAAAGCAACTGGCTCCATCCAGAGCTTTTTGAAGAAACTTGACCGAATTTGTAACTGTGGAGCTGACAAGTTTTGGTGCATTCTAAGTAGATATTTCATAAGGAAAAAAGTTGCTCTGGGCACTACTATTCTACCTGACCTCAATTCGCCACCTACGCCAGTGTTTTCAAGAGCGCCCTTCGAAGAAGCCAAGCACAAGATCCGTGGAAGTTCTTTGCATGTGCTGGACGGGGGCTTACCGAAGGTAGTCGTTTCGATCGATTCCACGAAAACAGAACAGGCATTTTGGACCAGGCTATGGTCCGCCTGATAATGACCCAGATTTGCACGGCTTATTTTGCTGTCTTTTGTTTGTTCATTCGTTATATCCAGGGTTTGGAAACTTATGGTGTGCCTTAGGGTTCACTTAAGCAAACGTGAGTGACTGACTTGTAAGAGCAATAATTCCAAAAGTAGGCTATAAATAACGAGCCTTACTTAATTCTCCTTTATCATTAAAACATTTTTGAAACGTTACACATGCTTAACACCAAGTATAATATTAACGTTATATGAAACCTCTAATAAACTTAATGCGTCATTAAATTACTTTAAGAATAACAACTCTTCACGCCGGGTTTACAAATTACCGTGTAAGTACGACAAATATTAAGTAAGACAATCAGGAAACACCGTCACTCAAAGAACAAATACCCACCTGTCTAGAGGGAAAAGACGGGTCATCGAGAACGAGCTTGAACGATACGCGTTAAGGAAGCAGCCGCGTAGAAATACAGCCCGTAGTCAAGTCAAGGAGCAATGCGAAAAAATTGCCGGTAGCACGAGGTACAAGACGGATAGCCGATGGTCAAAATATACTGGAATCATCAGAGGAAGAAACTAAGTTGAACGGGCGAGGCGCGTCAAGGAGGCATTAATCCTTCAGTCCTGCGACAACGTCAATTGTGAAAAGGATACGAACCCTGTGCGGAATGGAAACGTTGTGGCCCCTGTCGCCAAGAAACTATTTAACTAACAGCCCGTGTAGAAGGCTCGCCTTCTGGCTCTGAACATACATTACCTTCTGACGAAAACGACTACCGGAACTCACTCACCTCGTTGCCTTGAGAAAGGTCCGTGAGTCACGGGCCGAGATCACGCAGTGGCCAATCAACCGACTGATCAATGTGTGTGCGTTGTTTACAGATAAAGCGTGTTTTGCGCTGTTTTCATCAGTACAACCAAAGCACGGACCAAAAACTCAATTTAAGGTATAAACGCGTGGTGGTTTAGTACGCTTGCAGCAGCAGCTGCAAGAAAACAAAGCATCCAGCGACCTAGAAACCAATATAGCCTTATACAATGAGAAGGTATATCGGCGGTATCACAGACTTACACCCGTTCATGACTTTCCAGACGAACATATAGCCTCAATCTCAGTAAGTACAAACCAGCAGCATATTTTGCATAAGGTGTTTATGAGTAATTGTATTAATTTTAGTTGAAGGTTTGTAAATACTTTGCTATTTCGTTGGCTATGATCAGCTTCTCTGTTTAGTCGTTTATTTCAATTTCTTGCTGATTTATTCATTACGAGCTCCTTGAGCGTTACAGCAAGACTGATTAGATTAGATTACCTGAATCATTGGAGTTGATGTTGCGCAGAATATTCCTGACGATCTGGAGGTTCACCTCGGCAGCAAGGTCATTGACCTTCTCTAGGAGGAATTTGTAAGCCTCACCGATTTCGAATTGAAATTCAATGCTGGTTGGTGAACAGAGTAATTCCTGAAACAAAGTAATTCCTGTAAAAGATTTATACGTGATGTCATGTATAATTTACATATAGATGCATAATACTAAAATTTCAGATTTAACTTTAACTATATGATCAGCTAGGCAAAAGTCGGGTAGAACTGACTGCTTCACGTATGAACTATGAAAGACGGCTGGGGTGACCAATCTAGGTTCGATTAATAACAAAGCAGTTTCACAAACTCCTGACTATAGGTATTTCTTCTCCAGGTCGACGGATCAACGTGTGAGGTTTAGACCACGTGACGAGAATCCAAGGAGGAATTCACAATAAGACGTTCGTGGCTAAGACATAATGAAGAAGCCCTGGTAGCAGACCACGCATCTGAGAGCTGAGTTATATATAAGGCCTTCATTTTCGTCTTCGGAACTGAGCCCACGGAGCTTGTTTGTTTAACTGGTGTACGGCAACCATTGAAAAGACCTCCTGAAGCAGTTGTTGAATGACTGATTGACAACCAATAGCTACATGTGCAAATGAATCAATCAATGCATATTTTCAGTTATGATATTAGCGCATTTCAGTTAAGCATATTTAACTCTTTATTCCTCGTTTGGCACACATGCCTCAAACCTCTGTACAACTTGACGTCGTTTTGGTGGAACCAAAAGTTTATCCATTTTACGAAGAGCTATTCGTGCGGCCAGTACGTCGATGAAAATCGCACGACTGTCATGAGCGGATCAGCCAGCCTACTTCTGCTGCAGGGAACGAGAGGATTTCCACCAATTAAATAATATATTTGAATTTCAAGACGAACCATATAACTTGAGAAAGGTATTGTTGATTGACGTTAAAATTAGTTTATGACCAATGACAGAAGTGATCGAAACCGTAATGCGAAAACAGGCTGACCAAACCTGAATCCAATGCAAGCTGAATGAACATGGGCGATTGAACTGTTACTTTTAACATGGACAACGACATGATCATTGCAATGCAGAAGTGGAAAACGAGGTCGTTATTGCGACCCCTGCATCTTTGGCAGTAGGGAGTTCGTAAACGAAGTATGGCATGAGTCCCATGTATTTCTAGTCATCGATACTTCTACTTGCGTTGGAAATAGCCATTGTGTATACAACGCTTCAATTATGTCTAAGAGTATTCAAATAAAGCTGTTCAGAGAGACTATTAGAGATTCCATTATATGAACGAATAAACAACATAAAGGAGCAAGAGGTTTTGCTAATACGCAAGCGCGTCTGATATCATGACTTGAAATAATCTGCCTCAAAATTTTCCATCCAATGAATGAAAGCCTCTCCGAGGCTTTGGCAGAGACCTCTGATTTCTGCACCTGTTATCCCTCTTTATCCAGTGAACGATTTCTGCTCATCATTCCCTCGATCTGGAGGTATTCCTACCAACCGTTTATTCACCCTTGGAACCCGATCTCATGTCTTTTTGGCTCTGCGATGTTCAGTTCTTTTTTTGCCACGCGTCCTGCCATTGTTAATTTCACTTCCTCACTCTGGTAGTGACATCGCAGACATTTGCTTGTCTCTTACACATTCATTCGCCTTGTGGCCATTTCGTTATTCCCAGCACACATGTTCGCATGTCTGCAGTTTATCAATAGTTTTCACAGTCCAGTTTTCTAGTCTGCAGTTTATGAATAATTTTCCCAGTCCAGTTTTCTGGTCTGCAGTTGATGAATAATTTTACTTGTCCAGTTTTCTAGTCTGCAGTTTAAGAATAATTTTAATAGTCCAGTTTTCTAGTCTGCGTTTATGAATAACTTTCAAGCTTAGGGTGCACGTTTTGCAACGAAGTTTCAGTATTTAACTTTATGCATTGACTTTTGAATAAAAGCGTCGGCAACCTGAGTCGACTGCGTCATTCGCATAGCACGTCAGTATTCTTCCGTATGATATGTCATTTTCGTATATAAAAACAATGCAGCTGTTAATGCAGGATTCGGCGTTCCATACGAATAGTGCGACTTTTGCTGTCCACCGCGAACACTGGCCCATTAGAACGCATGCATTCAACTCATGTATTTTACGAAGGTAAAATTTCGCGAATGCCATATGTTGAGATTGGCGCTTCAGTTCGAGCGAAAGACAGGAAACGTAGGTTGTAGTTGTCCATGGCTGTCGGCGACGTAGTTCTAATTATATGCATAAATATGCTAAATGGCGCATAACTCCTTCAAGACAAGATTTCAGTACGCAACGCACTGCCCCTGAGATGCCAGTTATCTCGTTATGGGGCGGGGTCATTCAAGCGGGCCACCTCTCCATGGTGTTCCAACATCTGCAGTGCCAGATGCCTTCCGCATAATTTTCTTTGCAGTGGTAATGTCATGCTCATCATGCATAACGTTTCAGAAGCTAGTACACCTCTTACTCTCAACGTATAAACATTAGAGTACCTTCGAGTGCCAGAGAAGGATATATAGTACAAAATTCGTTCTAAGTTAAAAATATTCACTTTCAATTGTGTAGTCTTAACCAATAGATCACCGTCATGAAAGCCTATCCATAATCATACACATCCAGAAGAACTGAAAAAATTTTCAACATGTGTAAACGAAGGGTATAAAATTTTCATATAATCATAAATGTCTCAATGCCCTGGTGAAAATAAATCATACCTGGAGGATCGACAGCACGTCCAACAGACGGTCTTCTTTATTCAGCAACAGTCCAAACATGCTACGGACTAACACGATTCGTTGCAGGTCATTGCCATTTCTAAAATGAAAGCATCTGCTAATAATTAGTACATAGCACCGCATATAGCAAGCAAAAAAATATTCTAGCTTCTGCAAGCTAAATGGCTTTAATTTTTCCCCTTTACAAAGCCAGTTTTTCCATCTGTAGTAAATGCATCACGAAGAGCGGATTTCCTACATGAAGGAAGCAACGCGAAGTGCATTTACCTCTTTCCTAAGCCATGAAGACAACATTCTATGAACTTAAACCTGTCAGCTAAAAAACCAGTGATATTCAAGCTTGACAGACCTCTAATGAAAAGCTAAGAATGCTATAAATTTAACCGAATATAAATAACACATTATAGACTCGATACGTTATAATGCTCAGAACCTCCTTCATGAACAAAACATATAGCATATACGCTATATATTACAGGACAGGGGGACGTAAGCTCATCGTTCTCTCACAAACCGTCAAAGACAAAAACTTAGGTACTCTGGTGTCTGAGCTTCATAAACCTTAGGTGGATATAACAGCAACAACGGCAGTTCCTGCTGTCAAAAATTTTCTTAACCCTATAATGAAAAAACGGCGCGGCTCCGTAGCCGTATGTTTGACGGTAAACATAAATTTGGCGGATCAGTCGAATAGTTTACTGGATTATACTACATCAATATTGCTGTCTTTCTGCTGATCTATTCGAGCAATGTCATCATACAGGTATGGAATGAGGTATCGAGTCGTTGGTTCAAGACAAGAATTAAAAAGAACATGTATTGTCATCAGGTGATAAGTCAGACGACGTAGTTGCTAATCCATGGTTCTTAGCCGCATAGGAGGGGGGCGTTTATGTAGGCCACGGCATTATGACATGTTTGTACCTGTAGTGCATGGGTGAGAAGCTGCGTCAGTTCACAGAAATCAGACAGGTGCCGAAATGCCACTATCCGTATCACTATATGTACACAAAATTCAACCAGGAAATCCGGATAAGCGATGTTAGACTTATTGTTACCGGCGGTATGGAAAACTGGCAATATGCTGATATACACATATTACACAGAAATATGAGCTAATAAATGCTGATGTGATATTTGCATAAAGAACGCAGTTATGTTTCGGTTACACGACAATTGTCTGAAGAAAACGGTACTACAGGGCTCTACTCCGGGAACAAGACCAAGAGGAAAACGGAAGGCGTGTTGTCTGACGCTGCGTCTGATGCGCAGCACAACAATGTAAAATGGCATCAAATAGCACGATGTAATCTAATCCAGACTGTACCGTTGCTAGTTTCACAGTCCTTCGACCACC